TAAGGCCCACTTGACTTCTCAGTCCAGGATGTCTGGTTCTAGGTAAGTGATCACACCATTGTGATTATCTGGGTCATGAAGATCTTATCTGTATAGTTTTTCTGTGTATTCTTGCCGCCTCTTCTAAAATCTTCTGCTTCTGTCAGGCCCATGCCATTTCTGTCCCTTACTGTGCCCAAGTTTGCATGAAATGTTCCCTTGCTATCTCTACTTTTCTTGAAGAGATCTCTCGTCTTTCCCATTCTATTGTTTTCCTCTATTTCTTTGCATTGATCGCTGAGGAAGGCTTTCTTATCTCTCCTTGCTATTCTTTGGAACTCTGCTTTCAAATGGATAGATCTTCCCTTTTCTCCTTTGCTTTTCGCTTCTCTTCTTTTCACAGCTATTTGTAAGGCCTCCTCAGAGAGCCATTTTGCTTTTTTTGCATTTCTTTTTCTTGGGGATGGTCTTGATTTCTGTCTCCTGTACAGTGTCACGAACCTCTGTCCATAGTTCATGAGGCACTCTATCGGATCTAGTCCCTTAAACCTATTTCTCACTTCCACTGTATAATCATAAGGGATTTGATATAGGTCATACGTGAATGGTCTAGTGCTTTTCCCTACTTTCTTCAATTTAAGTCTGAATTTGGCAATAAGGAGTTCATGATCTGAGCCACAGTCAGCTCCTGGTCTAATTATATAATAATAATAATAGTAGTAATTGTGACAACCTTCAGAACATATCAAACTGCTGTGATTCAGTTCTTTTCTTTGTTGTTTTGCCCTGAAGAAAGAAGGTCAACTTAATCTGTGTTCAAATCCTTCACTCATTTTCAAGACTTAAAAAATAAATAAAACCTTGAAAAGTAATTTCACCTCAAGGATTTTATGTTTGTTGTTGTTGTTGTTGTTGTTTTGCGCCCCCAGAGGTAGGAAACTTATTTTAGTGGTAGGAATAGTTTTAGAGTGTTTATTAGAGAGGGCTGAGAGGACACAAGGGTTTTGATTTTCACTTGTGCACCCAAGTTAAATCTATTTGCTCCTACCAGCTCCCTCCACCCCTTCAGTCCTGCTACCCTTTACCACATAATCAAACAGTGATCTGCTGGCTGGTGTGGAAAGAGATGCAGTTTTAATTGTGATTGCCCAGTGGCATTCACGGGGAGGAATTGGTTACAAGACCCAGTGTACACCTATGTATTTCTAGGATCAGGATCAGTGATCTAAGGACCCAGACTCTTGGCACTGGAGAAGTGAGTTTAAAGGCACCGGTGGTGTATTCTTGTAAAGGTGGTTGGAAATGGAATGAGTAGGCTCCAAAGTGAGTACTTTTTGAGGAAGCCTTTCAAAAACAAGTTTTGATACCAGATGAAGAGGAAGAATCAGTAATTCCATATTCATTTTGGGGTGGCAAAGTAGTATAGCTATTTGGCATAATAAAGCTTTCTCTTTTAAAAAGCTCTCATACCCTGCTGTCTTTTTTCTTTTTTTTCCCCCTTGTAATAATCAAACCATACAATGCCAAGCAGCTTACCTAAATCAGTGGCAGTGGTATTCTTGGTGGGCCAGACCATTAGCCTCAGAGCCCCATAAGCAGCTTAATCAGTTTCAGCCTCCATCATAAAGCAGTAGAGGCAATCAACAGCTTATCAAACTCCCTGTCTGCGGGGGTGGCCAGAGCTCCATGCGTCTGTTTACTCCACATTTCACTCTAACCTGGTTCTTTGTGCCTGGCTTTAAGATCTCCAAACCTATCATATTGAGAGGAAGTTTAATTCAATTACTTTTTCTGCCTGAGGTGGGTTAAATTGGATTTAGCTTTTGATCTATCTACATCTAGGCTATCAGTACTGAAGGAAACCTCTGCCCCATCTTCCCTTGGTTTCAGAGTAAATGTCTGGTCTGTTTTCTGAATCTGAGCTGTTCTTGCAAATAGATAAGACAAGTAAACACAAGAATGGGGAAAAAATATTATTGCTTTGTGACAGTCCGTGTCCGACATAGCAGGATATCCTTCCTCACTAACCGAGTTGCCAGCCCCAGGTCGTCCTGTACCATTTCCTCCTCTGTCTGGGTGCTATGCCACCCTCTTTGAAGTCAGCTTCAGGAGTTTCAGAGTAAGTTATTTCCTCCATTCAATTCCCATCCTCACTCCTAAAATAAAGGTCTCTGTAAAAGCATCCTTGGACAGCAAGAAGATCACACCAGTCAATCCTAAAGGAAATCAACCCTGAATATTCATTGGAAGGACTGATGCTGAAGCTGAAGCTCCAATACTTTGGCTACCTGATGCGCCGAGCTGACTTATTGGAAAAGACACGGATGCTGGGAAAGATTGAAGGCAGGAAGAGAATGAGGCGACAGAGGATGTGATGGTTGGAAGACCATCATCAAATCAATGGACACGAGTTTGAGCAAACTCCAGAAGATGGTGATGGACAGGGAAGCCTGGCATGCTGCAGTTCATGGGCTCACAAAGAGTAGGACACGACTTAGCAATGGAACAACAAATAAAAGTGTCACTTCTATCAAGTGAAATGACTGTAGAAAAATGAATTTCAGTTTATAAATTTTGCAAGGGAGAGGAAAAAACTCAAGTAAGTAACTGAAGAATTAATCTTGAATAATGGAAATGGCAACCCACTCCAGTATTCTTGCCTGGAAAATCCCATGGACAGAGGAGCCTGGCAGGGTACAGTCCACGGGGTTCCAAGAGTCAGATGCAACTTAGCGACTGAACCACAACTACAAATGTCAATATAAGTATCCTTCCTAAGGGCCAAGATTCCTTTCTACAAATTTCTCTGAAGTGAACTTGAGTTTTCCCGTTAGCTTTTATTTAAAAAACAAAATGTAAATACCTTCCTCTCCAGAGAGAAAAAGAAAGGTAAAAATTGAATAAACATGATAAAAGGGGATTTATAATTTAAGTATATATCCAAAAATCTTAAAATAACACAGCACACAATGCTACCACCCTAACTAAAGACACTGAAAGAATTGTAGTATCAAAAAATGTGCAACCTTTTTCTTTCTCACTGTTTTCATGTTTATAAGTAATAGTCCCCAAAGTTTTAGCAGCTAGATTCACTTCAGTAAATCAGCAGNCTG